CCTGCTGCACAGAGCTGGCATCCCAAGCCAGCTCTTAACCAACACACTACTCGGCTGGCCCTGAATTATACTTTTATAGCTATTATTTTGCTTCATTTATTCTCTCAATAAATATTTATAAAGAATGTACTGTGTGCCAGACACCAGTTCAGGTACTAAAAACGCAGAAGGAAGCACAACAGACACAAAGCCCTGTCTTCAGAGGCCTCCCATGCTCAGTATTATTTGATAGGCAATGGAAAACACTAAATTAATCTGTTGGATATTCTATTTGTGCCACCCAATTCATTCTCCCTCTTTCCTTGTCCTGTTGTGTCCCAGGAGGCTGGCCGTGTGTTTCATCAGCTGGGCTCTTCCCCAAGTGGCTTCCAGCCAGGTTGGCCAATGAGAGACCCTGGCAGGCAACTAGACAACAGGTGGACAGAGACAGCTGGGTGTTCACTGATCACACCCTCACTGCTTTTGTGCCAGGACATGTGTGGTAACCCCTGGGGTCACACAGACTGGGGAATGGACACCCATTGTTATCACATAGTTTAAGGAATTGACAAAGCTGTGATCAAACTGACTGGGGCATGTACACTTTTGGGATGACAGACACTGGGTTCCTGGGGTCACACACACTGGAGAACAAACATTCTTGTCATCAGAGACTGGGATGGAAACGCTCCAGGAGTCACTCAGACTAAAGTAAATACCCCACTGGGGACACATGGTCTGGGTATATGTACCTCTGTTGACAAATTGACTTTGGTGTGGAAAGTTCTGGAGTCACACAGAGGGGTGTGGACACTGCTGGAGTCACAAGACTAGGAAATTCACACTCAGGTCCAGATAGGTGGACAGGGGCACTCCCAAGTCAGTAACAGCCTGGGTCAGGTTGGTCCCTTCTGGGCACACACTTAGGGGTGTAGACACCACTGGGTTACGCAGACTGGAGGTTAGACATTACTCCTGTCACAGCAACTTGCATGTATATGCTTCTGATGTCACACAGATGGGGGTGGACACAGCTAGGGATACACAACCTGAGGTGAGTACATTCCCGGACTCTCAAAGGCTGTGTTTATACTCCTGGAGATTTAGATGTGGACACTCCTGGGGTGACAGATTGGAGTGTGCACGCTCTTGGGGCTTCACAGACTGTAGTGTGGACACTGCCAAATTCTCATGGTGATGGGCATTGATACTCCCGTGGTAACAGACTTTTGTGTGGACACTTCTGTCATACGTTCTTGTGGTTGCACTGACTTGGGTGAGAAGAATCCTGGGTTAACACGCTGTGGTGTGCTACTCTGCCCCTGGGGGTTGGACACTTGGTATGGACACGCTTAGGGTCACACCATCAGGTGTAGGAACACCAAGGATCACAGGCTGGAATGTGAGGAGTTTTGAGATCACTGGACTGGGGTGTGGACAGAGGACATGAGTTTCTAAAGATATGGGAATCAGCTGCAGAAACCGGTTCTGCCTATGTAGCTGGTGAGTTTCCTCCTGTTTGCTAAACAGTAGAAATTCAGGACTGCAGTCAAGGCAGACTTTTTGACATTTCTTGAAGGGAAGGATTTTTAACATAAAAAAAATTGTTCTGTGGGTCCTTTCACAGGATATATTTTTTCATGTACTCTCACCAGTTGAGCCACCCCACCACCAGTTGGCAGCCCAGCGGCAGCACAGCTCGGGCACAGCTCACTGGCCCATGTGGGAATTGAACCAGCAACCCCGCCGCTCAGAGCTCATGCTCTTAACCAACTGAGCCACTCGGCCAGCTCCAGGATATTTTAAAAAGCATGCTCATGCACACATACACACTCAAATACAGAGGATTACTAAGGCAACCAATTAAACAGGACAGAGGTTCTTCAAAAAGTTAAATAGAACTACCATATTATTCAGCAATTCCACTTCTGGGTATTTATCTGAAGATGAAATCACTATCTCAAAGAGGTATCTGCACCCCCATGTTCATAGCATTATTCACAATAGACAAGATATGGAAACAATCTAAGTGTCTGTCAACGGATGAAGGAAACATGGTGTATACATACAACAGAATATTAAAGCTGCATGTATGCCAATTCTGCTCCTAAGAAATGAGTGCTAGAATATACAGTCATAAAAAGAAATTCTGCCATTTGTGACAACATGGATGGACCTTGAGGGCATTTCCTAAGTCAGATAAGTCAGACAGAGAAAGACAAATACCATATGATCTCACTTACATGTGAAATCTGAAAAAAAAATGAACTCAGAGAAACAGAGACCAGATTGGTAGTTGCCATAGGTGTGAGGTGGGGTGGGGAAAATGGATGAATGGTCAAAAGGTACAAACTTCCAGCTATAAATAAGTCAAGGGGATGTGATATATAGCATGGTGACTCTAGTTAATAATACCGTATTGTATATTTGAAAGTTGCTAAAGGGGTACAGTTTAAAAATTCCCATCAGAAGAAACATTTGTAACTATGTGAGGTGATGGATGTTAAAATATTGTGATCATTTCACAATATATACACAAATCAAATCATGTTGTACACTTTAAACTTAAATATCAATTATATCTCAATAAAACTGGAAAAAATATGACCACCTATGTTAAAATGAAACACTGGAATGCGGCAATATGTGAACTTCTTTATTAGTACATCAAATTATAAGATCTTCTATGGTTCCAAGTAGTGACAAATGTGAACAATATTTCAAGATGCCCGCAACAACCGTCCCATAAAAATGAACTGATTTGTATTGGCGGAAAGTCACAGGCACTGCTTTTAGGATTGTGATTTACTGCCAGAATTCTTATTTGGGAGTAAAGCTAAATTTCAGTTACAGTAATACCTTGGCTTGCGAGCATAATTCATTCCGGAAACAAACTACTCATATTGCAAGATATCACTTGTTTACCATGTTAAAATGTATTAGAAATGTTTGCTCGTCTTGTGGAACACTCACAAATCACATTACTTGCAATCCAAGGTTTTACTGTATTAGTGAAAATAAAGATGTAATATTTTCCTCCATCAACTTTATGGGTACCCCTGACTTCTGTACAGGTTAAGAACCCCTGCCTTCGGGGTAAATTCTGGACATAATCAGGACACCCTTGGAAAGATTTAAAGAGGCAAGACGTCACTCAAGAATCCCCTCTGTAGTGTAGACGGACATTTCGTGATGTTACTTTCCTGGCTGTTTTCGTGGCGGTGGTTGCAGGTTCCCACTCGTGACTTGTATGTTCAGGACCCGTTGACGAGATGATATTTGAAAAACAAGTTCATCAATGCAAGTTCTGGTTCTCCTGACAGCAAACAGCTTCCGAGTTGTATCAGACTGCCAGCCACTTAAAGGTCAAAGAAAAAATTTTAAACAAAAATATATTTCCCCACATTTTCTCTACTGTAATCATTGTTTACTCATTACTAATACTCTTGTGAAGTTTCCCCCCTTTTATTGTAAACAGTGACATAACAGAAAAAAATGCATAAACACATGTTCTGTTTAATGTGTTATTTTGTATAATTGTAGGATTCATTCTCACTGCACGTAATTCTCTTCTGTGAATATACCATGATTTAATGATCCATTCTTTTTTTTTTTTTTTTTTTTTTTTTTTTTTTTTTTTTTTTTTTTT